AATGTGGTACATTTCATCATGGGTGAACGAGCAATCGGTGATACGCTTCATCAAGAATCTGACATCCTCTAGTCACGCTATAGGCATCATGAGACTGGCGGTTAGGTAGGGCGCCTCTCTTGCTTGCACATACTGGCTGGTGCCCCCATAGTCAAAGTCATTCTTGTCAACATCCTCATTCCTCTGAAGCACGGTGGAAAGCTGCTCAATGACCTCAAGGCTCTTGGCAGCGCCATCAACAGGAGGGACTCCTTTGACCCAATCTATTCCACCCTCAGCCTTGATGAAGTGCGCATCATCGAAGGGTCTTGGCTCGGAGTACGCGAGGAACTGATTCACCTGATTCTTGAGGTGTTGCATATTTGAAATCTTGTTTGATTTTGACTCCCGGGACGAACGCGTCACATCACCACCACCAAAATTTGGAAGATCACTCGATGAAGCAGGGATAGATGAATCCTTGCATCCTTGATGGTTAGGAATTGGACGAGCCTTCTGCTTTGGGAGAGCACCAGGAAAGACTGTTGATCGATTCTCTGCTTCTGGAACCGTGGCGCCAGGCTCCTGAGAGTCATCAGGAGAACCCATGATCACATCAATGTCCCCCTTCGCATCGACTGGTCTATCTTCTCCAAGCGGCTTACCTTCGTTTTGCATGTGTAGGTACGTCTTGATCAAGGCTTCACTTTCTGGGTGGCGAGGACATTCTGTATCTGGATGAGCCACCCAACAAATGGGGCAATTCTTCAACGAGTCTGCGATGTCCAGAATTTCTCCCAAAGCATTAGCCGCCTTTCTCCTCTTGGACGCCACTGGGTCAGGATCTTCTTCGCTTGAGGGGAGTGTTGCGTCACCAGATGGGTCGGCAATCTCATCGTCACAAGCGTCTGGGGCTCTTCCATCAGCGCATCATCCTGATCATCTGTCGGAGCCATGTCGACATTTGCAGGGGTCACAACCTCTACCTCATCCAAAGCCTTTTCTTCATCACCCTCAATCTTCACGTCGTGTTTGACATTGGTGAGCGCGTCAGCAGGTCCAGTCCTCATGATCTTCAGGGTGAGATTGGAGTCTTCCAAGGTGATGACAATGGCTGGTTGACCCAAGACCACGTTGAGAATCTGCAGCGACAACTCTGCCCCAAGGATTTTTCTCTGGGTTCTAGACTCTGAAGGTTCCAATGCATCCAGTGATGGCCGCAAAAGAGCGAAGAGAGCGCTCCATGCCCGGTATGAACCCCGGCCTGCTACAACTCCCACGCCATCTCGAGCGCCTACGGCGCCCTCGGAACCAGCTTCATCTTCGGGAGGGCTTACCAACACTCGTGCTGCCGAGCTACGAACGCTCTGTCTGGGCAACGAGGCATGATCTGGTTGCAGATCGATAGCAACCGAACAGGTTCAACCTAGTTAATTCAAAACGATAATACGGTTAATAAGATTCAAGGTGGATGAGCCAGCCATTTTTGAGATTGCACCACTTGAATGCGTGTTGCGCATGAAGTCCGCAGATGCTTCCAGCGAGAGCGTTGAGGTCCACCAGCTCGAGGTCTTTACAGAGTCCAATGTCTTCAAGAGAGGACATGTTGGAGATGTCAGCTACATGATTGACAGTAAATCCATGACTCCGTTTAGAGCCGTTGTGGAGAAACGTATCACACAGTGTCATAACGCACTTGCAAAAAGACCCGGCTGGCCTCGGTTGTGGCCATGCGCCTTTTGGGCTTCGCCTTCGGGTTCCTTTTGGGCGCCTGTGCACCCTTTAGCTTGCAATACAGCCTCCACAGCATTAAGGCATTGAGGCTGCAAACAGCTGCGGGACAAAGCAACTAAGCAAACTCAACAAGTAAGCAAACACAAGGTATCCTACAATGAACATTTCGCAAATCATGCATGCCGAAATGCAATCACTCATACGACAAAAAATATTTCACCAAAGAAGTGCGCAGACTCCAGCTATCAAAATTATTGTCCCATTGCTGCTCTGGCCAAGACTAGGGCATCCACTTCGGCATCAGGCGGCTTGAACTCCTTGTGTGAGCTGGCGCTGCGGAACTCCGTCGCTGCCTGCAGCCAACGCTGCAGGTCGGCGACGGCATGTTCCCGGCCCCCGACTTTATGCAAGAACACATACAGCCTACAGTCGCTGTGTTGAGAACATTGCAGAAAAGCTCTGCGTTGGCCGCTGGCATGTGTGTAGTTGTCGAAGTAGACAACGCTTGTGCGACCACGGACCAGAACAGAAACGCCACGATCTTT